GTTTTGCCTTTCATTCTCCAAGCATTCGCAAGCCACAAGCAAACCATCGCACCAGTGACTTCTGAATCTGCAAATCTGTACCAAGGATCTCTCGGATATCTGTACTCCGGACCATGTCGAGACCGTGAGCCCGACAATTCGTTTCAGATAGTCAATCCAGCCGTTTGTACTTGAGATCAAGGTTTTTCAGTAATTGGGTCACATCTCATGAATAGGCGGACAAAGAGAGCTTAGTCTTCAGAATGAGCTCTGCCTAGTTACAGCAGCAGAATGCCACACCGCGTAATGTAAAGGTTAAAATTAAGTCTGATACTAGGAAGACTGTCGAAGATGCAGAACATGCGAAGTTTGCCACTCCATTCAGACGTTGAGCACTGCGTCCCTACCTCCGACGTATACTGTATATTTTCACCTGGAACACTCAGCAACGATACTAAAGTTGCACATGGAAAAATCAATGACAAGCAGACTTCGCTAGCCAGTTGTTTGCATGTAGAACATCTGAGAGAAGTCATTCTGAATAAGAAAGAAAAAGAAAAGTTAATAACTATTGGCATGTCGAACATCTTTACATTTTTATGATAAAGCCATTTAAGGCCTTCTTTTTATGAAGCATATGGTTGGGAGCATAGTTCCGTGTCCATAATACAATCAGCCAGGAGTGCATCATATTTTAAGGCAAAGTCGACAGCAGCCATGTGGCAGAGCCTGGGGGCAATGACCTGTTGCCTTTCCACAGAGCGGTACTCATTTATCAACTTCGGAAAGAAGAAAGGCGTGATGTGACCGAGGCTCGAACCCGGGATTTCTTAGTTTTGAGTTAAAAGTTCCACCGACTGAACAACCGCATTCTATCGCCTTGTTCCACGCGAAAGTTTACCAATGCCGAGGGAAACTACAAAAATCGATAAAAAGGAGACAATACAAAAACTAGGGTTGTATATTTCCATACTGCTGTTTTGAAAACTAAAGTTAAGTGCAGAGCAAAACTTGTAACAGAAAGTGCACAAGCTTAGTCAGAAATTAACGTTACCATGCTGGTTCATTTAAAACTATATAGATCAATTTTAGAGCAATTCTGATCAAAGTAAGGTAAAGATTTTTATAGACAGATGAACTGCTTCCTCAGCGTAAATACGGGACTGCCTACCGTAAGCACTGCACCCAAAAGCCCTCCATCTGTTTAATTCTAACTAATTGATGCCGTCGTTGGAGACAATGGAATCATGATGCTCAAACCGAGGCAATGCTCTGTGGTTTAGCCCGTTCATTGAGGATAGGGATATCTTCTTCAGGATGGGGTCCTCATAATTCAATCTCTGGGTATCAAATATTAGAGATGCAGCATTGCTACTTTCCACCGTTTACGCTGTTAACAATCAGAAACACGGAACAAAACAAAGCAGAAGCCCGATGAAAATGAACAGAACGATGTGGCATAAAATAAGAATGCTTACGCTCGCGCCAAGTCTATTGCTTGGTAAAACTCCATCGCGTGTCTAAATGGTAACAAGTTTGTAGCGATACGGCTTGAGGAAGTGAAATGCAAACAATTACCTGCTGCGGATCTTTTGCGACACCAGCTGTTCAGCCATTTGGGCCCATCTGTTCGTTGTTTCCAACTGGGTCTCCAATTTTGACAATAACACAGTTTTAGGGAAGCGGTTACTTCGTGCCTCATCGATAAGTGCCTTCAATGTGGAAACGTCTAAACAACAACGACGTTGACAAACACAAGCTGTAACAGAACTCACAATCACACTTGTAACAGTTTGGGAATGTCACGCGATGCTTCCACAGCGAAACAGCAAAACGTTTGTTTGACCAACCGACCGAAGACCCCGGGAACGGCCAAAGAAAACTTGTGACAAGTGTCTCGATGGACTCTGCTCCAGAATCGGGTCTTCTGCCGAAATTCACGCACTGACTCAGGACGTATGATAAGC